GTGGAGATGCCCGTGCTAGACCTTGATGTGGCATGTCACCTCCTCACTATCGACCCCGCTATTAGGGCAGTGGCTCAACGTAGACGACAGCAGTCTCCGGAGAAGACGGAGGCTTCCGAATAGGCTGTAAAGGATCTCCTAGAGGTGAACTTTATCTTGGAAGCCAAGTACACCACTTGGCTGTTCAATGTTGTACTCGTTAAAAAGAATAATGGAAAATGACGAATATGCATTGACTATACCGATCTTAACAGGGCTTGCCCTAGATACGCATATCCCTTCCCTAACATAGATAAACTAGTTAATAATTATGTCTGTTTTAAATTGTTATCTTTCATGGATGCGTGTTCAGGCTATAACCAAATACCCTTGGTAAAAAGCAACAAAAGATACACAACCTTCATGACCAAATCAGGCAACTATTACTACAACGTAATGCCCTTCGCCTTGAAGAATGTTGGCGCTACCTACCAAAGAATGATGAACAAAGTCTTCCGAGAAGAAATTGGGGACATGCTCAAAGTTTATATGGACGAAATGATCAGGAAGTCCCACGAGGAATCCGATCAGACAAGTTCCTCGATTTCTATCTAACCGAACGAGGATTTGAAGTTAACCCCGACAAGTGTAGAGCCTTCTCCGAGTTCCCCACGCCGAACTCAAAAAAGTTCATCCAATCCTTTAACTGGATGCTCGCATCCCTTTCCCACTTCGTGGCCAAGTCTGCTCAACACACCTTCCCCTTTTTCAAACTCCTCTGCAAGGAAGCCGTATTCGAATGGACGGAGGAATGCGACAAAGCTCTCCTCCACTTGAAGCAAGCCCTACGAAACCACCAGTCCTCTCCCAGCCAAAAAATAGGGAAACTCTTTATCTCTACCTTGTTGTCGCAACCGAGGCTATGAGCGCCGCTCTCATTCTTGAAACTCCTGACGGGCAAAAACCCATATATTTCACGAGCAAGGCATTACAAGGGTTAGAGCTAAGGTACCAACATATAAAAAATGTGGTCCTCGCCCTTATCAATGCTGCGAGAAGATTGAGGCACTATTTTCTGGCCCACACAATCGTGGTACGCACGGACCAGCTCGTAAAGCAGCTATTAGGTCGTTCATATATGATCGCAGGATGCTCAAATGGCCGCTGGAGCTATCTGAATTTGACATACAGTACGAAAGCATAAAGGTCCTCAAGGCACAAGCACTAGCTGATTTCGTTGCAAAAATTACCTTGCCCAACTACCATAATGAGGGTGCTCGCAAGTGGATCATATTTGTCAGCGGAGCATCCAGCTCAGCAGGGAGCAGGGCAGGTGTCATCCTGGAAAACAAAGAGGAAATCCTCATCGAAGTTTCGCTCACACTGTCCTTCCCTACATCTAACAACCAATCCGAATACGAAGCCTTCATCGTTGGTCTACGCCTCGCCGAAGACCTGAGAGCGGAAGAAGTCGTCATCTGCACTGATTCTCAGCTACTGGCCCTCAAAGTACAGAGAGAATACCAGGTAAAAAACAACAACTTGTCTGAATGCTTGGCCCAGGTTAAAAAGGAGATGGCAAAGTTCACCTTCGTAGAAGTAAAGCACGTTCCTTGCAAACACAACGTCCGGGAAGACATCCTATCAAAACTAGCAAGCACGAAGAAGAAAGGGGGGAACAAATCCGTCATCCAAGAAATACTCTCACGACCTAACATTGAGAGAGTATCCGCGACCCTCGACGTGCACGTCGTCGGCGACAGCTATTGCTGGATTACCCCAGTATACAATTACCTCACAAAGGACGATCTGTCGTCCGACCCCAATGAGGCCAGTGTAGTAAGGCGTAGAGCCTGCTCATACGTTTTGGTCGATAATAAGTTGTACAGACAAGGATTCTTCATGCACCTCCTCAAATGTGTCGAAGAAGAAATGGTCGCCCACGTCTTGCGTGAGATCCATGAAGGAATCGACTCCCAACACCTCTGGGGAAATCTCTCGTGATGAAAGCTCTTCGAGCAGGATACTACTGGCCGACCATGCAAAACGACGCAAGAGAACACGTGAAGAAATGTGACAAATGCCAACGGCACGGGGACATGCACTTGGCACCACCCAATGAACTCAAGGCGATGTCCTCCCCGTGGTCATTCACCTGGTGGGGCCTAAACATCCTTGGACCATTTTAGAACTCAGTTTTTCGGACTGCCCCGATGGCTAGGCATTACCCAATCCACTTCTGCTCGCAGAACGACCAAATTACCTAAGTCCACCCAATTTAGGAGGAACATTTACCCTTTTGTCCCTCCAACATGGGAGGTTGACCAATTTACCCTTGGTCATCGCGCTTCTCCTCGACAAGACCTGCTCGTTACGCACGACTCCCTCATCCAGAAACAGGCAGGACGCTTGTGCCTGTAACTGCGCCTCTGCCCGTAGCAATGACTAGTTATGGGCACTTTTGTCCGTTCCAACGGCTAGTTCTGACAGTTACCTATTATTCGGGAAAGGGTTATCTCGCCCCAAAAATAGGGACTAATGGCCAACTGTTGGGGGCACTATAAAAACCCTCTCACTTGAGAGGGGCAAATATCCAATGTTCACCCTGATATACTCATATTATGTACTTGCTCTCTCTCTCTCTCTCTCTCTCTCTCTCTCTCTCTCTCTCTCTCTCTCTCTCTCTCTCTCTCTCTCTCTCTCTCTCTCTCTCTCTCTCTCTCTCTCGCCTGATTCTTACTTTAGTATCAGAGTGTCTTGCAGGTACACCCCCTTCTCTTCTCTCACATCCAGCATCACAGGCGTTTGTCTCTGTCCAACTTCAAGTTCTAATCAGCCGTCAAGATCACTCGACTTATTAATGTTTTTGAAAAACTCAAAATTTTCATATTTTCAAAAAATCATGATTTTTTCATATTTCCGAAAAAACTCTTTTATATTTCCAAAAAAACACGACTTTTTCATATTTCCAAAAAACACGACTTTTTCATATTTTCGAAAAATTTCAACTTTTCATATTTTTGAAGAAACTCGACTTTTTCATATTTCCGAAAAAACTCGACTTTTTCATATTTTCAAAAAACTCTACTTATTCATATTTACGAAAAAAACTCGACTTTTTCATATTTATGAAAAAACTCGACTTTTTCATATTTTCGAAAAAACTCGACTTTTTCATATTTTCGAAAAAACTCCACATTTTCATATTTCCGAAAAAACGACTTTTTCATATTTCCGAAAAAACGACTTTTTCATATTTCCGAAAAACTCAACATTTTCATATTTATGAAAAAATTCGACTTTTTCATATTTCTGGAAAAAAAAAATCGACTTTTTGATATTTCCGAAAAAAATCGACATTTTCATATTTCCGAAAAACTCAACTTTATCATATTCGAAAAAAACTCGACTTTTCATATTTCCGAAAAAAAAAGTCAATTTTTTCATATTTCCAAAAAAAAAACTAATTAATTTTTATAATTAAACCAGTTTATAAAACAAAATTGGTTCTAAACCGATTTTAAATTGAATTTGAATTGTTTTAATTAAATGGTTCAGTTCATTAAATATTTAAATGATTCAGTTCATTACATATTTAAATGGTTCAGTTTTTTTATAGTGCAATTAGGGCTGGAAATGAGTCGAGTCTAGTCGAACTCACCTCAGCTCGGCTCGACTCGTTAAAAATTGTTCGAGTTCGACAGGAACTTTTTTTAAGCTCAAACTCGACTCGTTATAAGTTCACGAACAGTTCGGTTCAACTCGTTAGGTTCATCTCATTAGGTTCAGCTCACATGATTCACGGACTTAAAAACTATTTTTTAAAATATATATATTTGTTAGTATATTTGATATTTTAAATAAATATATTTTTTAAAAATAAAATATTAAAATAAAATAAAAGTTATCATATTGAAATTTAACTTTATCTTCGAAATCTACTAATTCAAAACCTACACAACTTTCAAGAGATACACATTTGAGAGTCTAATTCAAAAACTACTAAATTAAAGATTAAATTTGTCTTAAGATTTGGAGTAAATATTTAAACCTAATTTTAAAGACAGTATAATTCTTCTCATATGTAATCGAGTTGACTCATGAACCTAACGAGTCGAACTATGTATAGTTCAAGTTCAGCTCATTTAGTTAACGAACTTAATTTTTCGCTCATACTCAACGCATTTGGTTCATGAACCTAGTTCAACAATTTAATTGTCGAATCGAATTCCAAACTATTTTCGAGTTGATTCGATTCATTGCCAACCCTAAGTGCAATGCAGTTTAATTCAAGTATATAATTCAGTTAACCATATTTTTAAACACCCTTACTCCAACGTCATCGAACAATATCTATCGAACAATATCTATCAGTCATAAGCTAACTTATCAATCAACCACTATTTTTACCAAACAGATCTTCTTTAAAGTATTCAATTTCATTACACCTATTTGAATTCTTTAAATAGATCCCATTTAATATTTTATATTACATACACTTTTCAATTATTTAAATAATACATGAATATTTTTTTAAAATATTCATACAACCCTTCAAAAACTCTAAAATAATGCATGAGCATTTTTTTAAATATTCATAGAACCCTTCAAAAACTCAAATAGATCCCATTAAACTCACAAGTTAACTATTTTTTCTTTTATCTAATTAAAGTGAAAAATATGGTTCTTAATAACATTTACAAGTTAAAGCACTCGCTTTTAGTACCAAGTATGTATGAAACCTGACAAAATAGTCTAAAAGCACGGTATTAAGAAACAATGGAAATCACCGATAATGATGCTCTTAGAAAGTCAAAGCTTGGTCATTCACAGTTTGAAACTAATTATTACTAACAAACTAAACTACCTAGATCCCTAATGTAGGAGGTGAAATCCCCATATGATACACATGTTAAAACATTTTTGTCCAAAACTGAATATTAGCCATCATAGCATTCGCCAAGGCATGATGAAGGGCATGTAAGGATGGTGCTAAGCTCTCAGAACTGAATTTATGGAGTTCAGAGTCTCTGCCTGTTTGAGTTAGTATGTGTTAAATGAGATGCCTCTTCATAACTGTCAGGTTCATCTTCTTCGTCCGAAGAAAGAAGGGATGAACCCATCCATGCTTTAAACCCTTCCGAAACACGCCTTTCCACTTCTGGTGTAACTTCTAGGGGATTCGCTTCCAACATTTCAAGCCCAAGATTTCGTCCACTAAAGTTCCCCTCGTCAAGAATCACAGCTGCCTTTCTCCTTAGGAAGAAGGCAGTGCCACCGTATAGAACAACCAGTCCCCACGATGCAACTTCATAGCACCAAAACAAAGGTGTGGAGCAGTTGCTCATGAATGTCAAGAGACTTGAACCAAGAAACAAGGCAAGAAGACCAAAGATGATGGCGAAGATCAGATTCAAGATGGATAGACAGCGAACACCACCTGTAGGTTATACAAATGTAAAACTTCAATTAATTGAGCCCGTAAGACTCTCCAACGTTAGAATAAAAGTGGATGTATCAGACGGCAGAGGAATCATACCCCGCCTTGAGGCACAATAATTATTGTCAACTACCTTCAAGCATCCATGCCTTGTTGGAGCAGAATAAGCTACCGTGATACCTACAAAATAATTATGACATAAAACTAAAACATCAGGCAAAGGCAATAAGATATACTCCATAATTATGGCAGAAAGTTTTTTGGATGAAGCTGACAAGTCATTTTCACACCAAAAGAACAGAATTAAATTATAGTTAAACAGGATAATATACGAGTAACATTAAATACTGGCATTTATACAGCAGGTTATTCATAAACAATCAAATAATCCTGCACTACCAAAGAAGACAGATGTGATTCAATAGGATGTATACTACTGTAAAAAACAAGTTCAGGATCAAGGGGAGAGATGAAACATAGAAAAGCACTCTTTTAAGAAATGTCTGGGTAACAATTTGCACATTAAATTGCAGTATGTTTGATAAAATAAATTAGTAAAATAAAAAAAAGCTTTCCTTTGTATAAAACCATGATTTGCAAACTAACATCCAAATGAACTCTTATTTGTTGGCACCACACCACAAATCAGTGAAAATAATGGAGAAAATCAATTCAAGAAGACACTTAAAAAAAGGATTAGTTCCAGCAAAAAATTAAGATGTAGATTAAATATAGTCCAGAACATAGTTATGTGTGTGGCAATCTTAGAATTACATTATTCAACAAATCTGTGAAAGGAAATTATGCGGTTTTGGATCTGTCCTATTATCAAAAATTTCCAACATCATCAGGGGATTACACTGAAAGTACAAATTAGAAGCAGAAATATTCCATCATATAGAGATGGTATTTGTGCAAAATCTTGAACTGACAAACTTGTGCAGCTGAATTGGTCGTTTCTCTTATGTTGAAAAAGAATGATGATTTGATTTGGATGAAGCAACTGTACAGTTGTGCAAAGCTGTAAATCCAAGATTTGAGAATGTGGCATTACTCTCCCGGAATGAGTTGACACTTTCCCTACTCAACTTTCATCTTAGAAAGAAAATTACAAAAATCTAGAAAGAACTCCACAAAAGCACCAAATGGTCGACTTCTATAACACTGCTCTAGAAATCTTAGTTTCAAATTTATGATGAGAACAGCCACATACTTCTGTTGCTGATATCAAACATTCAACAAATAACTACATCTATAACTACAGAATGTCTTCGTATTCCAACAAGCATAAACTAGACAAGTTTATGGATAAATCAAAACAATGTTTATTCTAAGCATCACAGTTATTTACTAATCAAACTCCGCATCAACAAAAGCCACCCTTTCCCCCCTCCTTTATTACTTTTATTGACATTAAATATCTTCACCAGGTTTTCTATACTTTTGATTCATTTCTTCCTTTTAGCTGTAACATAAGGACTAAAAAACTAATTTCTTCATCACCCCAAATGCGAGTTAAGATTTAACAGCTTTAACAGCAATTGTGAATAGTAATTCTACCATGATTGTATCTACAGGTCAAATCTCCCTAATTTCTAGCAGCACATTCCTGACTTTCTTTAATGCCAAAAGATACTGTGTATGTTTGGTTTCACGTTTGAAACATCCATAATTGATTATGGATGTGTAGTTTTGATCTTGACATGTTTGGTTGCTCTCGAGTAGAATTGATTATGCTTTCTAGAATTGCTTTTACTTGAAGCTAGGATTTCTAGTTTTTTAGTCTATACGTGATTTTTACATTGAAATTCACTGTTCAACTCGCTTTTACAAAAACTTATTCAAACATAAAATCACTTTACCTTCAAATCATTTTCAGCTTAAATCAATTTTACAAAATCAATCCACTTAAAATCAACTTTCTTCACATTGCAATTCAATTTTAACTGTATATATGACATAGAAACTGGAAACAAGATACAATACAGTTAAAGAGTAGTAAATTATTATACATACAAGATATACAAGAACAAACAAGAACAAAATTCACATTCTTTCTATTAACAACGATAACCAGATAAAGAAAACCTCATCAAAACCAACAATCAAATTAAACTTCTTACCAGCAACGAGATATACACCAGAAATCACGAAAACAACGAACGACGGAATGAACACAACCATCCAATAGTAATCAGCAATTTCTTGATCCGTAAGATAAAAAGCACCACCATACAGATCCGAATCAGAATCACCTTTCATTTCAATTTGAATCGGTTGAACCCTTCGATCAACACAGAGCGGTCTTTTCCCATCTTTACCGGGAAACAATATCTTCAAACTGATAACCGTAGACACAACGATTGCAAGCCAGATTACGGCCATGAAAGAAATCGTCACCGGTCTCTGAAGCTTGCCCCATGCTTTCTCTTCTTCCCGGAGACTCTCGTACTCGCGCTTCGGCATAAACGCTTGCCGAAGCGCGTCGCTGATGATCGACATCGACGGAAACAGCAATCAGCAAGGTGGTTCGAAATTTCTGCAATCTAGGGTTTCGAATTTCTTCGGAATTGGTTTTCAAAAACACTAATTAATAGTAATTTGATGCTCTGATTAGCTTAATCACTACTAGAGTGATTCAAGATTGGAATTGTTGAATTTCGACTTAAAATATTATAAACGGTGGAATTAAAATGAATGAAATGAGTAAATAGTAGTAGTAAATTCTTAACTTTCTTAAACTACTTTTTTTTCTGGTTTATTTCTGTGCAAATTCTTACCTAACAAAAAGAAATAGTTGGTATCGTACTTTGTAAAATAAATAACTGGGTATCGGACTATCCGTACATTGCAAAATGATTTAAATATTAATTTGATTTTAAATAAAATGTGACATGATATTAAATATAATTGTTTTAATAAATAATATTATTGATATCAAATTAAATTTAAGAGTACATGACTATTTACCTTATTTCTTTGTAAAGAGAAGAAGAGTGCATATCAACTAATCTCAATTAAAAATAAATAACACTAATTCATATTAATTAAATTAATTTTGTTACATTTTTTATTAAAAGTTATCATTTAAATTTATTTCATTTATTTATATTTTATTTACGGTTAATTTATGAAAAAAATAAATTCAAATGATAAATTAGTAAGATTTATTTTAAGGTCTGTTTGTTTCAACGGAGAGGAGGGGATGTATTTTAATAAATAGGAGGGGAGGGAATGAGATGTATTTTAATTAAATGTATGTTTGATTCATAAGAGGAGGAGGGGAGGGCAGAAAGAAGTTTTATTCAAATATATGTTTGGTTCCTAAGGGAAGGAGAGGGGTTTTAAAACTAATTTACCTTTTTTACCTTTAAAATATTATAACAATCATGCTAAATATTTTTTTTTAAAAAGTATTCATAAAAAACGTAGATAATTAAACACAAAATATTTAACATTTAAAATACTCTAAAATATCTTAAAATGAAAATAAAATATTGATAAACGTCATAAAATCAAATCATATGATCAATGATCATATGAACCATTTTCTCATCTTGATGATCCATTTAATCCTATAACATATTTATAAGATTAAATTCTACATAATATATAACTCATACTACAATTATATATTGATATGTAATATAATACAACAAATTATAAAATAATTAAGTTATTCCAAGCAAAATATTAAATAAAAATGAATAGAATAAAACACATGAAAAAAAATTGAATAATAATAATAAAAATAATAGAGTTGTCATTAAACAAATGAAGGAATTATAATAAGGTGGCAAAAATTAAGGTATAATATTAATAAAGACAATTAAAACATATATTAAATAAAAGTGAGGATAATTTTGTCAATATAATAAAAATACATGTTATTATAACTCTTCTCCCTCCCCTCCAAAAACCCCTAATTCGGGGAACGAGAAATTGCTCCAAGAGGGATCTAATTACCTTCAATCCCCTCCCCTTATAAAAAATTGAACCAAACACGTCTATTTTAAAATATTTCCTCATCTCCCCTCCCCTCCAAAACCCCCAACCAAAAAGACCCATAAGAATAAACTCAAATAATATATTAACTAATTTGTACATATATGAGATGCACACTTAAATTGCGGAAATCAAATCATAGTTTTCACTTCTAAGTCTAAAGTCAATCACCACTAAACTAACTAACTATTAATAAATTCATCTTATTTCTTTATAAAGAGAAAATAGTACATGACAATTGATTTTAATTAAAAATTAACTATTATGATTAAGTGACACTATAAAATATATTTATCGTATTAGTTCATATTAATTAAGTTTATTTCGTTACGACCCTCGTTAAAATTTTTCATTTATATTTATTTCATTTATTTTGTTACATCATTCATTAAACATTATCATTTATATTTATTTCATTTATTTATATTTTATTTAAGGTTTATTTATGAAAAAAATTCAAATGATAAATTTAGTAAAATTTGCTTTAAAAATAAACTCCACTAATACATTTCACTAATTATAAAAGTTGATGTCAAATTACATAAGTTGATAATCTGAATATCTCATTGTGAAAAAAATACACTCGGTCATTTTTAATTAGCTTCCTCTTTAGTCATATTTTTTTCTACTACAATCCTAAGTTTCAAATTACACTAAAGGAGAGGGGAATTATTCCAATAAAACATATTTGTTTACAAAATCACTTTTAATCGTTAAGAGGATTGAGTTAAAAAAGAGTTTGTAAGTTGGAAGTGGGGCTTTGAGTATTTAGTTATTAACAATCAAGGTCACACTTGAACTAATTTTGTCAGTTATGTAGTTCTAAGATCTAGTTTTATCAGGAAATCTCATATGGTTCCTACACGTCCAGATTTCATCAATGCAAGAGATTACATACAAGAAAGGAAGCCCGTTGGTTTGAAGAGTGAACGAGCTCCCAACATAGTTTAGGTTAGTGTAACACCCTTTTCTATCCACAATTAAAAGACACATTTTTCACATAAATCAGAGTAAAATATTTAACTCAATAAAATTCACCTCAAAGGGTGTACATTTCTGAATAGTTCAAAATAAGTCCATGTGTTTGAGGTGTACATTTCTGAATAGCTCAAAATAAGTCAATGCTCCGTGTACAACGGGTTTTCCCAAAACAATATCAAAAATTGCTCAAAGGCAGCGGAACTTAGGAACTCAAAAGGCAATCCAAAGTTTCCCTTATACGGAAAGATAATTAAAATAACTCAAATAAAACATAAACCCCAACCCGATGTTACACTATCAGAGCAAGACCATCTAAGTTAACCAAAGGCTAACAACTCTAAACTTGAAACATAATCCTCGACGAAATCCACGACTAAAGGTAACATTTAAACAGGCAGGGTGAGTAAAACAATTCATAATAATCAATGTATAAAAATCAACATATCAATGGATCATAATCATATTCAACAATTCATATTCCTCACTATGCCTCAAAGGCCACAACGTCATAACTCATACAAAAAGACTTAGATATGCAATGCAACAAGGCTCAATGCATGTGGTACCAATCATCACAACGCGATGGACACTGGGCCATCAACCCTCCATAGATCCCCATTAATATGATCGTTTCTACTAGAGAAAAAAAGCACATCAAGATACTTCACATCCGCACAGTGGGATTGAAGCCAAAGTAATCGAAGTCCTGAACCGAAATTCGGATGTACATGAATGCATGATGCACACGTCACAAATCATCCTCATAATAACATCATAGGTGCGTCATCATTCATCATATTCACCATCATCAAACGCCATAGCTCATCATCATACGTCATGTCATCATAACTCGTCATAACAATCATCTTCATACATCATGTCATCATAGCTCATCATAATAATCATCTTCATACATAATAGAAATCATCATATAATCATATACAAATCACATAACACTCACGATCATACTCATATTAATTCATCATATTATCACATATTATCACATATTAATCTATAATTATACTCGCGGTAATTCTCATACTATCGCCTATTAATCACATAAACTTCACAGTCATACTCATGTTAATTCATCATATTATCACATGTTATCACAGCTACCCTCATGGTAATTCATCAGGAAAATTGCAGCATCAAAACATCAAGACATCACTGAACCAGAATGGAGGCCAATTATTGGGAAAACAATTCCCTTATCTATACTATGTTATAGCCTTGTTCATTATCTTTCCAACGCTTCGAACGGAGGCCAAAACGGACTTACGGATTAAAAGTTACGTCCAAAACAATTTCGACCGAAAACATGAACAGTCGTGACGGACAGCAAAACACTGTTACGCTCCGGAACCTAAATCAACCCAAAAGTCCACACGATTCACTTTCCCAATGCCCCCAAAAACATATCTAAATCATCTCTAAGGTCCTACGGTGATAAAGGCACAAAACCTACGATTTATTAGGCCAATCCCATAACATATTCATGTCCTAAATCACAATTTTTCCTTCAAGTACACCCTAAGGCATTAGAGTTACTCACAATCCAATCTTTCTATCCCTTCAGGGTCAGATATATAACAATTCAAGGTTTTGTCCAAGAAGGCCTAAGGTTTCATAATTCTCATATCTACGCTCAAACAGTCAGAAATACTTACCACTAACCACAACCCTCAGGGTCCTCGCTATCAATTTCCCTATTTCCCACAATCAACCCAAAATCCCTTAAACCTAAAATCATCTAGAGTTACATTAAAAGGCATACATAGAAAATCATGAAAATCTATACTCATCATACCTTAATCGATTCAAAGCCTTCATGATTATCTTCGGGAATCTTCCGAAGTTTTTGCCTCCAATTCTCACTCCTCAGAGCTCTGGCCTCCATTCTTTTCACGGTTAACAAAAATGAATCCTAAACCTTCAGAATTTCCTTTTTGTCAAACTTAGGCTTGAGCCTCATAATTGGTATTTTCCCATAATACCCTCACTTACTCCTCTTAATTGTCCAAATTGCCCTTATCCAACCTATATTTATTTTAATTCATAATAATATTAATATATCCATATTATATACTATTATTCAAAATAAATAACCCAAATATGCATAATTCTTCATATTCCACCAAACCACCCAAAATCACCAAAATAAGAATATTCTCAATTAAATAAATTAATTTAAATATTCCAATTAAAATTTAGGGTGTTACAACTCTCCCCCACTTAAAAGAATTTTTGCCCTCGAAAATTACCTCAAAGAAACAAAGTCGGATACTACTCCCTCAACTGATCCTCATGCTCCCAAGTCCACTTTCTCCAGCTGGTCCTCACAAAACTACATTTACCAAGGCAATCTCTTTACCTCGAAGTTGCTTCTTATTCATCAATCCAAACTAGCAACGCTTCAACAGTTAAGTCCTCTCTCACTTGTACATCATCCATCTGAATCTCATGCGACGGATCTAGAATGTACCTCCTCAACTTATACACATGAAACATATCAT